TCACGAGAAGGCAGGAAAATCAACTAGAAGGGCGCCCCTATTTAGATATAGAAGATAAGCAAGGTAGACGTAATTTTTTGCTTCGTTGATCCAGCACTGCAAGCATGCCTACAATTTAAACTCATGGCAGCTCATTGAGATTTTTTTAAATGCATGTATTAATATATCCATGCCCCCTATTGAAGAACGCACGCCAAGTGTAAAAAAAGACCTATGGATGATGCTATTGTAAACCCGACAAAACAATCGACAAACGAAAAAACTAACACCCATACGTGTGGCATCTTGCACATTGCCTACACGTCTCTATCACCACTCATTTTGCCACGTATGAACAAATGACATTAACAGGAATCTTTTTGGTTTTAGGCTTAAAAATGTTTTATCTCCTAATTAAAAAATTGAATTAAAAATTTGTTTTCACCATTAAATCCATCTCGACGAGATCTTCAAAACTAGACCCCATGTTAATATGTTTCAACGATTTTTTTCTTAAAAGTTGCCATGTTGTTTACACTGTAGTTGCCATAGTGCTTAAACTAAAGTTGCCATGTGGTAATTTTTAGTTTGTAGAGCATGACAATTTTAGTTTTTTGATGATGTCAATTCTAGTACTTTGACCATGAAAATTATTTTTTGTATGAACAATGACAATTTTAAGTGCATGTATCATGACAATTTTAGTTTATGGTTCATGGCAAGTCTAATTTCTTAATTCCCCATTTTATTATATGTCAAAATTTATTTTTAAATATAGAAGAAAATAACTAAAATATATCATGGCAACTTCAGTGTAAACATGGCAACTTTTAACCCAAAAAAAATTTCGTCAAAATATATTGATATGAGATCTAGTTTCAAAAATCTCGTGGCGAGGGATTTAATGGTGAAAACGGATCTTCAATCGAATTTTCATTTAAGAGATAAAATGTTTTAAAAACTGAAAATCCAAAAAGACTCTCACATGCATGCATGCGGTGACATGGCGCAGTCTGTATGTTATAGGGTGTGCGAGCGGGTTTGGAGAGCAACTCCAACCGTTGAGCCCCCCAGGAGGCATTTTTTCGTCGCTTGGGAGGCTGCCGGCGAGAATTTTGGCCGGGGGGCGGGGGCAAATTGTTCCACTCGTTGCGCCCCCAAGAGCAGTGTTGGCGAGAAGCAG